CAACTTGCCCTTGCCAACTCCACCTACCCCCGGACTGCTATGCACTCTCCATCCCTTCTCTAAGTCATGCTGCAGGGGCCCATCCAGGCTGAGTACGCAAGGCTGGTAGTCGACTCCTGCCCAGTGAGGGTCAGGGCTGTGTCTACCCAAATGTGCTTAATCCTGCTGCCCTTATGGCTAGCCCACGAATTGGTTAAATAGCTCAAAAATATGTGAGTGTGAAGAGAAAGAGATAGTGGTGTGAAGGGATAATGGTAATGATCTGAAGATTTAAAAATCTGCCAAATTAAGTGTGGACAAGACAACAGGGAGATTAGGGGTGGCAGTTTACATACTCCAGTTGCTTCACAATATGTGCACTTGTGTATGTTTATTACAATAGAATCAACCTATTAACCAATCAATAAGAACATAACATATAGTATGCATATATATACACACACACATACACACTATAATATGTTATATTTTTATTGACCAATATATTGAGTCTACAGTATTGCAAAGCTATTGCTATTGTCTTATCTCAATCAGTCCCTGAGATTTTAGGGTTTTGTTTTCAGTGGAATTAGAAAACAATGACCCATTGGCATTTATACAACATCCTTTATAAGAGAAAAGGGCAGATTTTATATTATACAGTGAGAATGGCCCCAAATCCATAACTTTACATTAAATTAGAATAGGAAAATTAATTTTTGATGATATAAAGTATGGATTAAGCCCGGCCGGTGTGGCTCAGTGGTTGAGCATCAACCCATGCACCAAGAGGTTGCCGGTTCGATTCCAGTCAGGGCACATGCCCAGGTTGTGGGTCTGATCCCCAGTGGGGGGCATGCAGGAGGCAGCCAGTCTATGTTCTCTCTCATCGATGTTTCTATCTCTGTCTCCCTCTCCCTTCTTCCTTCTCTCAAATCAATAAAGGGGAAAAAATAAAAATAAAAATAAATAAAAGTATGGATTAAAAGGCCAAACTACATGTTTTGTTATACATAAATAGCATAGGCTACATAGCCATTTTTCATTTTTCCTACTTGAAGAAAGTCAAGAATGAAGCCTAGCATTGATTGATAGGGGGTGGAAAGCCAGCTGTAATTACAGCTGGTGGTGAAGTTCTATGTCATCCAGGTGAGGAGAACAGCCCTGCGATCCCCTGCGATCACTCTTCTCTAGCCATCCATGTTCACTTTCCCTGCAGCCAACAGGTAGGTGAGAGTGGGCAATATTTCCCAGAAATGTATTAACAATTTTCCTTATCTTGATCTCTATTTCTTTTATCCTCACCCGAGGACATTTTTTTTCCATTTTTTGTTCAGATAGAGTGGGAGAGAGAAAGAGGAAGAGAGAGAGAGAAACATGGACGTGAAAGGGACACATCGAGTGGCTGCCACCTGCACGACCAACCAGGGCCGGGGACAAACTGCAACTAAGGTACATGCCCTTAGAGGGAACCGAACCCGGGTCTCTCTGGACCGCAGGCCGACACTCTAACCGCTGAACCAAACCGGCCAGGGCTTGATCTCTATTTCTTAAAACATGTATTACAACATCAAAAGAAAAACCATCTCTGACAGAACCATTTTCAATTCTTGAGCCCTTTTAATCTTTGGTCATGTGCATGGAAACATATTTTATATGACTAGATCCTCGTATATGCAATTTTGTATTCTAATCTGTTCATTCATTTTGTGAAAAAATATTTTCATATTTCCATTTATTAACTTACTTTATTCATCAAGCCTTTATTATGGTATGTATTAAATTTTAGGTACTATTCCAGGTACCACGAATATAAAAATAGATAAAAACTAGATCCCTGGCCAGTTTTTCTCAGTGGTTAGAGCATCTGCCTGTGGACCGAGGAGTCTCAGGTTTGATTCCTGGTCAAGGGTACATATCTGGGTTGCAGGTTGGAGTACTACAGGTTGGGGTCGTGTGGGAGACAACCAATCAATGTGTCTCTCTCCCATCAATGTCTCCCCCTCCCCCCGCATTCCATTCTCTCTTTAAAAACCAAATCAATGGAAAATATCTTCGGGTGAGAATTAACAACAACAAAACAAAAAACTAAATCCCTGTTCCTAAAGAGCTCTCAGGTTAGCAGAATATAACAGATAATTACAGTGCACAGTATTGTCATAAATACAGATTTAAGGACCTCTCTGTTTACCATCTGAATGGCTTCACAATCTTCTAGCTGGATAATATAACAATTTACATAACTACTCACTTTCTTGATTATTTTTCATTATCACATGCACTGCTACAATGAATACATTTCACACATTTTTTTCTGTTAACCATTTTCTATGGATGAATTCCTAGGAGTGAGATTAGTGGGTCAGAGTGTATTAATTCAGATTTTTATAGATCTTGACATACCTTGCTAAATAGCTTCATAATTATATACAAAGTCACCACTTTTTCTGAGCATTGACAACTATCTTAACACTAAATTGTTTGTTAGAATTTTCAAAAGCAGAGGCCCATTATTGTGTTCATTTGTATTTATTTAATTAATAGCATGGTGGAATATTTTTCTCATGGTTAAGATTTTAATTTCCCCTAGTGGGATTTGTGTTTATGGCAGATTTACCTATCATTTATCACTGTTGAAGCAGCTTCCTAATATATTCTCAGATGCTAAAAACATAATAACTTTTCTCCATAATTTACTACAAAATTTTTCCTATTTGTTGTTCTCTTTGTTTAGCTAAATTGCCTTCAAATCATACCAAACTTTTAAATCTTTTAAAAATAATTTTATTGATTTTTAGAGAGGGGGGGATAGAGAGAGAGAAAGAGAGAGAGAGAAACACTGATGTGAGAGTGAAACATCGATTGGTTGCTTCCTGCATGCCCCCTACCTGGATCAAGCCTACAACCCTGGCATATGCCCTGACCCAGGAATCGAACCAGCGACCTTTGGGTGCATGGGACAATGCCCAACCAACTGAGCCACACTGGCCAGGACAATTCTATTTTTTTAAATTAGTTATGCTATTTGTTTTTTTCCTCTAGAATTTCTTCTATGGTTTCAGTCTTAAGAAACATGTCCTTCTGCCATTGGCATAAATTTCTACTCTTGTCCATTTTTCACTCATTCAACTTTCAACAAATCTCATATGTGTCCTGTTTGATACCAGGGATAAAAAATGATGAATGAGCCCTGGCCGGTTTGGCTCAGCGGTTAGAGCGTCAGCCTGCAGTCCAGAGAGACCTGGGTTCAGTTCCCGCTAAGGGCATGTACCTTGGTTGCAGTTTGTCCCCAGCCCTGGTTGGGTAGCCACTCGATGTGTCCCTTTCACGTCGATCTTTCTCTCTCTCTCTCTCTCTCTCTCTCTCTCTCTCTCTCTCTCTCTGTCTCTCTTCCCCCCCCCCCAACTCTGTCTGAACAAAATATGGAGGAATGTCCTCGGGTGAGAATAAAAAAAAAAGATGAATGAATGACATAGTAATACAAATTATTATTATCCAAAACTTAGGAATAGGCAAAGGGGTTACTGCATGTCTTCCCAGTGCCACACAGGGAACCTTACTAACTAATTCTCCAGGGACACATACTGTATCTCATTTGACACACTATGTACTGTTCATGAGGTTAGTTTACAACTCTGTTAGTGGGGATGTTAACTGGTAGAAAACTGAAAGCAATGTAAAATGATTCTTGTCACACGGCAATGAAAATAAATTTTGACCAGCAGAGATGGAAGTAATTTAACCCCTAAAAAAGATGGCCTCAGTGGTTACAGCCTCATTGCCCTATAGGATATTATGTAGTTTTGCATCTAACTTAGCAATCTTACGTATTTTCTCTTTCGGTGATTATAAATACTTTGTTCTTTCACAGTTCTCTTTGAGCCACCCTTACCATCTTACAGATCCCCTCATTAAATAAAGCTTTGACACATGCTCACCTTATGTTTGTATGGGAGTCAGGGAATCTGGCTGCTAGCATCAGCCCTACTCACGTCATAGTTTATTTCATCTCCTCCTTGACTTCTAGCTTCCTTTTTTGTAAATCATGGGTTTCTGTAAGGTCCAGTGGTAGTCAGGAAACCAAAGCAATTGGAAAGCTATATTTCTATATACAGATAACATGCAATGAAATCAGAATGAATGATCGGGTTCTAAGTCCAAAGCCCAGGATTTCCCAGGCCCAAGGGAGTGGAGCCTGAGAAGCCCGTGCCACGGTCTGGTAGGACACTTGGCCAGCAGGGCTGTCTCCGAGCAGCCAGGACCAAGCAGGAACAGGAACAGTGGTGCAATGGGAAGTACACGATCTCCAGCCAAGTGGACCTGGCTTCAACCCTCAGCCCTGCCTCTTCTAGAGTCTCCTGAGCCTCATTCCTCCTCTACAGAAGAAAGTGGTTGTGATAAGCCAATGGGCCAGTGCATAAAGAACCTTGTCACACGTGGCACACACTAGGTCCTCCATGAACGTCACTTGTTTTCCTTCCCTCTGAACGCACAGTGTCCCCCACAATGAATACTGAATCCATCCTCTAGAGGTGGATCAGGAGCACTTGTGGATATCCAGAGGCTACTAGCAACTGAAAAAGAGGAGAAAAGCTGTGGCACTGGGATGGAATTTCAGAGGCACCTAGCGCACCGTGTTAGAAAAACAATGGACCCTGGCCGGTTTGGCTCAGCGGTAGAGCATCAGCCTGCGGATCAATGAGTCGCAGGTTTGATTCTGGTCAAGGGCACATACCTCGGTTGCAGTTCTTCCCAGGCCCTGGTCGGGGGTCATGTGGGAGGCAACCAGTCAATGTTTCTCTCTCTCTACCCCTCCCACTCTATCTGAAGATATATCCTCGGGTGAGGATTAAAAATAAAAAAAAATAAAACAATGGTTTTAAGTGGCCCACATCTGCCCCCAGCAGGCTCGGTGACATTCCTCTCTGGGAACCCTTTTCCTCTGAGTAAAGACTCAACTACAGGATGCTTAAGGTCTCTTTGAGTTTTAACATCCACACCCACCTGCCTGTCACACTTACCTCTCCTACCACCTCTATGATGTCACCAACTTTCAGCTCCAGCTCATCGTCATTCTGGGGCAGGTAGCTGAACGCCACCTGGCACCGGCGCCGCCGTCGCTCACCTAAATGGGAAAAGCAAAATATTTAGATACAGCTCTTCTCTCAAAATTAGATTTTAAAGAGAGGCTTCTTAGGCATGCAGGCAAATTAAGCTGACTTGTCTCAAATATGCTCTCTGGGACATGGCTAGAGGCACGGCAGCCCTGGTCTCTCAGAGAGAGGCAGTAGAAAGCAGAGCAATGCTTCTTGGTCTTTTAAAAGCTGCTGGGTCAGAAAGGCATGGATATGAGAAACCGATCCGTTGGTGCAAAAGGAAAATCCCCACCCCGAAGCGCTGGAGCACAGTGTTGCCTTAAACGGTTTTCCATGGATGGGGCTTTGTATTTGCTGCTGTTGATTTTTAATGAAAGCTGATGTGATGTGGTAGAGTAAAAATAATGGTCTGCTTCTAATGCTAGCAAGGCAAAGGAAATTTTTCTCCAATGTGCAAAGGAAAAGATAAGCTATCCCAGCCTTTTTCTCACTAATCATCACCCTTTCAACATACTAGAACTCAGGCCTGATAAGCAAAAGCTGATTAGATTTCAGGCTGCTCTTTTGCCATTTCAAAGGTCCCCCCAGGGGTTCAACAAATCCACTTCTGTTCTTTTCCCTCTGTTCCCAGGGGATCCATTAGCAGGATCCCTGGCTGCTTACACAGCACCACTCAGGCAAATCAAGATAAAAGCCAGGACCACAGTTCACTTAACCAGAAGACACTCAAGATTATAGCATCTCGCTCACCCAGTGTGGCCTAACTGGGAGGCCCTCCCTGACTTACAGCTGGTTCAAGTACAGACACAACTATCCACACCACAGACATGTATCGTGGGGAGAAAGAACATGCATGTGGTATGTGTGGTAGGTGGGGGTTCGAAACAGAGAGAGAGACAGCAGTGAAGGCCCAAGCTGGGTACAGGTGAGTAGGAGAGAGGAACTGAGACCAGCATTGCTTAGAAGTTTGTCACTTAAAGCTGACCACCCCACATCATTCCTTCCTGTCACCACATGGCCTAGAAAACCAAAGGCATCATCAGCTTCAAGGAAACATTTAGAAATGCTTACATTATTTTTGGACATTGCCTACAGTGATTCTTTTTCTTTTCTAATCTTTTCCCTGAGAAAGCAAATTCCTACATGAATGATCACAGGCCACTTTAAGGGCCCCACACAGCAGAACATCACACAAAGAGGAAGAAGGTCTTTGCTACATCTGATGTGCTCACTGATCAATATTTTTCAAAAGCTGGTGGCCTAGTTCTCTCTGTTCCATTTTTCTCTGCCTGAACCTCACTAAGGAAGAACAGAGTTGAACACAGGGAAGAGGGCAGAAGTTCAGAATCAATATCTTGTCTAATCACATCCTTGGCGACTACAAGAATACACTCCACCCCTTTGTACAAAATCGCAAGCCGCCTAATCTTGATGAGAACAAACCCTGAGCTGTCAGGCCAATTCCCAGGTGCTAACTGCATTGTCAGCAGGCAGAGTAGGGCAACCCAAGGAGGCCCTGGCTCTCCAATGGACAGAGGGCCCACCCCAACTGAATCTTCCCAGGCGGCAAGTCAGAAAGTGTGGTACCCCAGCGCAAAGAACTCCACCATGATTCCATGGCTTCCAACACAACAGAAGACCAATCAAACACTGTGTATCAAAAAGGGTACGGCCCTGGCCGGTTTGGCTCAGCGGTTAGAGCGTCGGCCTGCGGTCCTGAGAGACCCGGGTTCGGTTCCCGCTAAGGGCGCGTACCTCGGTTGCAGTTTGTCCCCGGCCCTGGTCGGTTGTGCGGGTGGCAGCCACTCGATGTGTTCCTTTCGCATCGATGTTTCTCTCTCTCTCTCTGTTCCTCTCTCTCCCTCCCACTCTACCTGAACAAAAAAATAAATAAATAAAGGGTACAGAGTTCTCATTCTAGCTAAGAAAGCCCAGATGACGAGATGATCTTGGCACCCATAACCTGCTCCTGGCGACTCCCCTGCCCCTATATATATATCCCTTAAGATAAAGTTCTACTATAAACCTTAGCTTTATGTGGTAGATGTTATGCTAAAAGCAAACTCTGAAGACACAAATCTGAACACAAAACAAATAAACATGACAAATGTCTGAAACCCAGCACTCACAACCACAGGAGTCACCACTTGACTGAACTGACTTAAAATAACATCTCAAGACCTAGTATTAGCTGAAGTCACAAAACTTTCAGTTATATGCAAACTCAATTTTCAAAAAACCCGCTATAAAAAGTAGCATTTTAACCCAACATGGCAAAATACAGAGTGATATATATTCTTCAAGAAAAGACTACCCCAGCAGATTCCCGACCAGGAACAGAATACTCAGATTTTTCTAGAACCAAATCTCTGCATCGGACTTCTATAAAGCCTTGTCTGGTATTAGAAAGAATGACACATTTACTCTTCCAGGCTAGTCAATATTTCTTAAGCCTCTAAGAAGATTATTTAATTGGTGGCATAAAGTTCTATGAGGCACACTGCAAACATATAGAATTAAGAAAAATGAGCCCTGCCCAGCCCGTTTGGCTCAGCAGTTGAGCGCTGACCCATGCACCAAGAGGTCACCTGTTCAATTCCTGGTCAGGGCACATGCCCAGGTTGTGGGCCTGATCCCCAGTGGGGGGCATACAGGAGGTGTCCAACCGATGTTCTCTCTCATCAATGTTTCTCTCTTTCTCTCCCTTCCCTCTCCCTTCCTCTCTCTCTAAAATCAATAAAGAAAAAAAAATTAAAAAGAAAAGTGAGCTCTTACAGTGAGGTATACAGAGGTTGCTGTGGTAAAGGCCACCTGACCTGACCCCAAGCAGAAACAGTTATTCCCTCTGGTACTGGAACAGCTTGTGACCTTCTCTGAAGCACTTCTGATACCTATCACCCTTATCGCATCCTGCCAACTGCACGAGTTCAAAAGAAAAAGAAAGGAGCCAGAATGAGCAACAGTTTTGCAAACACGGAAATTGGGGCTCAGTGACTTACCCAAGTTACCAAGTTAGTAAGTGGCAGTATGTCCTTGGCCTGAATTCAGAGCTCTCCCTACAATGCGGATGGACCAATTCAGCTCACATCTTGTCCCCAATTCTCTGCGACCTGCACTTAACTGCTTCCCACAACACTGCGTAACATAGCCTTGGGTCTTCACCAGGGCTTTCGCCCTCAGATAACTGCCAAATTCCTGGTCCGCTGCCCCTCCAGGCCTCAACTTCTGCACATCGCTGTTTCTATCTTGTTTGCCAGTTCTACCCAACCTAAAGCTCACTTCAGGTGGGATGTTGATGTAGTGATACTACATTTCACTTGCCTCTCTCTACCTTCAATTCAAGGAAGCTTAAAGATGTCATTTTCCATTTTTTCCTCTCCTGGCATTTCATTTCTGTTTACTAGCCAGTCTTTTTTTTTTTTTAAATCCTCACTCGAGGATATTTTTCTATTTATCTTCAGGTAAAGAGAGAGAGAGAAACATCGACGTGAGAGCAACACATCGACTGGTTGCCTCCTACACAACCCCAACAAGGGCCAGGGACGAACCGCAACCAAGGTATGTGCCCTTGGCTGGAATCAAACCCAGGACTCATTGGTCTGCAGGCCAATGCTCTACTGCTGAGCCAAACTGGCAGGGCTACTAGCAAGTCTTGACCTTCTTCGAAGAGGTATGTGGACAACAGTGCCATCTCTTTTCAGTAGCTGGTATAAACTGGAGAGAAAAAAACATATGACACCCAAGGCCACGGTCTGGAACCCCTTAATTTGAGCTATCACCGTCATGCCCAGAGCCCAGTCCACATGAATTCAAGTTTTAACACATTTCAATGGGCTTTTTTTCCTAAGGAATAAACTGACTTTTGTTTTCTTTAAAAATGTAAGTATATTTGCTGATTATGGCCAACAATATAAATCTATATTAGAATAACTAGAAAGAAGAGAGAACACATGTTTTTCTTCCTTCATATCATAGCCATTGCCACGGTCCTTTATCTCTGTGTGTGATTTGTAGGCAGGACATTTAACTCCTTACACATAATTGAAAGAAGTGACACAAATTTCATGGACATACATGCAAATGTATATGTGACACAGCTTACAAAAAAGTATGAATAAAGCAGACTTTACAAGCACACCTGATATGTCTACTTCATTGCCATATTGTATGATGGCCACAAAATACACATGTATGAACATGCGCTTGTATGTAGGAACACAAGCACACCCTCAACTCTCTCACTAGTCCTCATAACCACCTTCTATTTATGACCAGCTTTGTTGAATAAAATAGTAACAGCTAACATTTATTGAGCACTTACTGTGTGCCAGAGACAACTAAGCACTTTGTATGCATTACCCCATTTAATCATTACATTGAACATCTGGGGTAGATCACCGATCCCCTTTTACAGACAAGGAAACTGAGGGGGCACATAAACACCAAGTATTTTACCAGAGGTCTTACAGCTAGAAAGTAGAGAGCCAGGCTTTCAAGTCAGAAGATGCAAGTCCAGAGACACTGCCTCCCGTGTCTGAGCATTCTTACAAATCCTTGGCTATGGGTCTTGAGAGTGCAGAAAAAACTAGTGGGCTAACATGGCACATTGTTAAGATGTGAAACTAGGAAGTGAGAACCCACAAATCAGGAGCGTTTCCTTACTGCTAGTTGCTGGGAACCGGGGCCCATATTTCAATGCAATAAAGCTGGTTGGATGGGGAGGAAAGGTACTACACATGCATTTTCTATAAAGAAAATAACAGAAACTGAAAAGGGTGACATGACCCAGCCTCAGAAACAGCACACACATCTGTATTTTAGAGCCTTCTGAGGGGTCGTACGATATGTGAAAACTTTACTAGACCAATTCATTCGATGACCATAATAATACAACAACAAATAGTGCAGTGGTTGAAACAAATCTTTGGGTCAACTGGTAACTTCCAACACTCACACAGTCCATTTTTTTTTGGCATCCCATACCGACCCCCACCCCATGAAGAACAAGAGTATAAAACTACAAGGATTT